CCTCGCCACCATACATAAAACTTTAAACCCAAATGAAAGTCTAATTTTTCAAGGCAATTAAAATCCATTGGGGTTTCTGTTTTATAATTTGTTGTCGTATTGCTTTGTTTTCACTTAAAATCCATTGGCTTTGGTCTAGTTTCCTTTGCTTATATAGAGTTATGAGCCATTATATTGGTTTTCATTTTTCTGGATAATTAATTATTTTCTTTTATCCACCAATGTCGATAGCTACTATGGGCAGTTTGGAAGTTGATTTCAATAATTTTCCATGATTCTTTGATTTTGAAGCCCAACACATGCTCTACATAGTTGATTTGTGGTGATTCTCTCTCTCTCTCTCTCTCAAGATTTATATTTAATGGGTTCAATAACTTTTTCGTGGTGAGCACCAAACTTAGATTTTTAGATATATTTTTCATGTGAATGGGCTGTTATTTCGTGCTATTATTGGCATATTAGTAGGGGATTTTGGGGTTTTTAGTATGTTGTTATTGCATTATTGTACAAAGAGGTTTTCATTTGAACCTTTCTCACCTTTATTTTCCCCCCCCCAATATTTAATGTACATTTGTAATCTCATCATACACCACCAGTTGAGCCCACGTGTACTTGGATTTTGTTTTAGGCTGAAGATTCATACTGGAATGATTCCCACTCACTCCCACCCCCTATCTTAGTTATATCTACAATTTTGGTTTTTTTAATTGGTACAAATCTATTCAATTTCCATGGAATTCAAAACTTTACCAATGGAAGCAATTTCAAGTTGAGGCATGAGTTATAGATATAAAAGGTAAATTCATGACTTAATTTGTTTTATACTTATAGAAGTTGAGTTGGAATTTTTATTTACTAAGATTTCAAATTCATGATTAATGATTATTTTCAAGTTTTTATTCAAATTCATGACTTAATTTTAAGTTTTTATTTACTTATAGAAGTTGTGTTAATGATTAATATTTGATTTTTTTTTCCAATTAATTGGTTTTGAATTTCATAACTTAATTATTTAGATTTGTAATATCATCCAGTTCAATTTTTGATTAATCTCATTAACAAAAGTATTCTTATTTATATAGAATCCTCTAATTGGTTGTTTAGAATTTCATTATTATTAGTTGGTTTAACAAAGAAGCCTTCTATTTGTTAACCTGCTTTCAATTTGATTTCCAAATTCTATTTTTTTCATTGTGTAATGATTTAACTATGTTCATTGTGGAATCTAATCTCTATTTGTTCTTGGTATTATTGATTGGTAGGTTATTGATATTGACATAAAACAGTGCATCTTTAGCTTAAATTTTATATTATTAGTTTGGCATCTGTATATGTGTGTGGTTTTGATTGATTGCTTGAAATAGATGGTTTGATTCTTGATCAAAAGAAACTAACAAAATGCGTAGGAAAACATAGTGCAATATCTCATATCTTTGTCAGATTGATTCAATTTAGTTAAATTAATAGTATTGGGTAATAGTAAAATGAATATTTACTGTCTTTTGGGTATAAATAGGACAGTTTCATGATTTCATTGTAAAATTTTATCATTTTTACTTGAATAATCAAATGAAATTGGGAAGTTTGAACTAAAAAGTTTTGTGGATGGGGCTGTTTTGTTGAGTATTGCTCATTTGGGACATTTAATTTTGTTTTTGCATGTAACCTTTATTATTAAGTGATTTTGAATAGAGTTTCAATAGAGTTGTTAATAGTTGTTGATTCACTTCCTCCCTCTCTCAACTAAATCTCAATTTGCTTTTTAATTTTTAATTTTTATACTGGTTTGGTTTTGGATTCAGTTTGTGTGGAATTCAAAATATAAAAATTTTATTTTTTTAAGTTGAATTGAAGGTGTGAGATGTTGTGGTCATGACTGAAATTTGGTTTTGGAGTACTTGCCACCATTGACTGAATTTCATCATAACTTTTCTAGCATTTTCTACTACTTATTTGGTTTCATTTGTGGGTTTTTGATTAGATCACATTTTTTATACAAGTGTGATTATGCTAATTATATACATTTTTTTAAACTTAAACACAGAATCATATTTGAACTATTATTTTTTCCCAAGTGGATTTGGCATAACTGGTAGTTTTGCCCTCTTTCCTAAATTGTGGAATTTAAGTTTTTATCATTAAGTTAATCGTTAAATTGTAATTTGTGAACTTTATCATTTCTTCTTCCAAAATTTTCTTTGTTAACATCTAGGCGATGACACTGGATGTTCAGTTCAAATATCAGTTCAGTTTTTAATTTGTAGTTCCTAATGTGCCATTATGGAGTAACAAGAAGATTTCAGAAAAATTATGAAGTAACAACCATTTGGGTGCTTTTTGAATGGCTAAGTTCTCTCTCTCTCTCTCTCTCTCATGTACTCAGCCACCGAAATCGAAGTTGGGTTGATGTTTATTAGTTTGATATAGAGGAATTAACGATGTTGACATGCCCAATAGCCACTGCACCCACTTCGTCTTTCCTCTTTGCCGGTATGTAAGCACCACTTCCTCAAATGCCTCTTCTTAAAATACTACTCTCCACTCTTTAAAATTTTCTCTGATTTTTTTTTCCTTTCCTCCTTCTATTGTTCATTTTCATCACTTGAATTATAGGCTGTTAGGTAATGGAATATACAAGTGGGTGACATGGATTGCACAACTGGGAGACAACACGTATCTAACGTAAAAAGCCTTTTCTTTTTACTATCATTCTTTCTTTAAATACTATAAATGCATACACAGATGTATGCGTATAATGTGATGGATAGAATGAATTTATTTGATGTGAATAGATCACATGGTTCCATTTGAAAGATATTTGTTTGTGAGATTGTAATTCCCTTTGAAAGATCAATTGGATTTGCAAATGGATCTTTTGATCTTTTTCAAGCATCATGCATTTATGGTGGTGTGCTATTGGCAATAAGAAATAATCAGATCTAAAATGCATATAGAGATGTTGAATCAAGTTTAAAGTGGGACTACACTTGAGGCTATACATATAGAATGCATGATTATTTATGTTTTGGTTTCAAATTAATTCATGAACTATATGTATTAAGTAAATCTATCATGATTTCATATTGTAATTACAAAGTAAAAGGACAAGGGAATTAAAAATGATTGTAATTGTCTATATGTGTATACTGAAAGTTTCGTATACACTGTGACACGGAGTTTAACCTTGAATATGAAGAATTATTAATGGATTGAATAGATCATAACTACAATGTGGTGAATTTTTACCAGTATGGAAGCGCTATATTAGTTTGTCTTAACTTTTATTTTTCATTGGTCAAAATGTATTAGTTTGAATGTGATTTTTTTTTTTTTTTTTTTAAACTTAGAGTGCCATAGGCATGGGTCATCCACTAGTCTTTTCATAAAAAAGTCAAAAAATCATCCCAAACATACTAGTTTTTTTTACATCACATTTTAGCTAAAAAGTCAAAAAGTTACTAAAAAAGCCTGTTCCCAAATGAGGCCTTAGTTTAGGAGTAGTTTCTTCTCTAATTCGGATCCTTGTAAACTGTTTTGAACTTTAGTAATTTCATCTTGGAAGTACTTGTTATCTGCTTTGTTTACTTTGTAACTTTCAGTTGATATAAGGCAGTTTGTTTTTTTCTTGTTTACTTTGTCACCATCAATTGATTCAAAGAAGCCCTCATCCTTTTGAGGCATTCGAACCGGTACCACAATTGCTTGATTGTTCCTGTTAATTGTCTAGTTTAAGATTATTGCTTGGTTGCTGTCGATCTAGCCCCAACATAATTTTTACTAACAATATGATAATAGAATTGGAGTGTGCATCACGTATAATAAATCAAAAAATGATACATATCACACCACATACTTGTAAATCGAATTTTGTGAGCTTTTGGAGGTCTCAAACATTTTCAAACAATGTGATGAGAGAGTTAGGTTTTATATCATTGGATGTGTAACAATTATCAAACTTAACAGAAAAAATAAAACTTCTAATTACTCTTCTATACAATAATAAAATCATCAGAACTGGTAATTAAAATATATTTATGATATCATTCAAAATTATTAACTGCCTTAGTGGTTAATTAATAAAATTAGTTATTTGTTATGCGATTAAAAATTTAAAGAGGTGACATGTGAGTTTCAAAACCATAAATCGCAATTAATGAAAGTTAAATGATCATTCAGTAATCTTCAAATAGGATGACCGTTTCCTTATAATAATGAATAAGAATCCATTTTTAATGCATTTTTCATCATATATGAGAATTAACATTTTAATTGATCATTCCATTCTACTTTATTTCAGTGAACTGAACACTACTGATGAAACTCACCATATCGAATAAGTATTGAATGTCAAAATGAATTAACCCAAAAGACATTTATATAAAATAAAAAAATTATTGAATAATTAGTTTGGTAAATATTTGAAGTTGATATGCATTTAGACAATAGCACAAGGAGTCATAAGCAAACACATATTAAAATATATTATCTTACATAAATTTGATATAAGTATATTGAACTATTCTAAAATTTTAATTTAAATAACACTTCGCTCAATTTTTATTAATAATTCATCAATCACGTATATGAAATAATTATTTTTCTCTCTTGTAAAAATATATATTTTATTTTGTTTACCTTTTATCTTCACACTCTTTGCAATAATTTTTATTTGGGCAAATTACATATACACCCCTCCAGGTTTGACAAAATTACAGATACCCCCCTGAGGTTTCGGAAATTACATCCCGCCCCCTGAGGTTTGTATTTTCATAACAATTTACCCCCTGAGGTTTATATTTCATAACAAATTACCCCCTAATTTCTTATGCAAATATAGCATTCAGGGGGGAATTCGTAATTTCTCAAACCTCAGGGGGGTATCTGTAATTTAGCCAAACCTCGAGTCTTCCCACCCTTTGCAATAATTTTTTGACCTTTTATCTTCACACCCTTTGCAATAATTTTTTATTTTATCATCTTTGCTCTACTCAATTTTTTTCCTGACTCGAATAACAGACAGAGAGAGACGGAGAGAGAGAGAGGGGTTGTTCTACAACCCTTGTCTGCTACACCTTCCTTGTTCTTTGTTTTCTTATTTTTCATCTCCATTTCAAGAGATTTGGTCTCATCTCATCTCCCTATAGGCAGATTTTGGGGCTAGGGTTCAAAAATCGAATCGAACCAAGTAGTGTGCTGAATATCGATCAACGTTTTTTTCTTTGTTCTGGCCAGAAGATAAAATCTTCTCTTCAATCCTTTGTGGTAAGTTTTCTGTTCCTTACTTTTCTTCTTCAATCTTACGTTTCTTTTCTCATTATTGATAAAATATTTTCTTTGTTCTTGTTTGTTTGTGATACTGTCCTTCTTCATATGTTTCATTTATTAATTAAATTTCTATCTCTGATGTCCTTCTTCATATGTGTCCTTGTAATTTTTTTTTTTTTTCCTGGTAACATAAATTGGTTGAGGTAGAGTTCATGCATTGCTCTGTTCTTCATAAGCTGTTTTTATTTTTAATTTTATTGGATGCAATGTTGCTGCTGTGTTTTTGCTTACTTTGATGCTATGTTGCTGGGGTATGGCAAGCAAAATACAATGGTTAAAGTAGTGCTGCTTCTCGGTTGATTGTTGGTTAAAGTAGTGCTCTTATTTTTTATATTTTATATTTTTGGGGGAGTTAATTATGTTAGAATAATGTATAGAGAGGGAGAATAGATTGTATTTATTCATATGGTTGGGGGCTCCTTTTATAGGAGACGATTTACAAATTGTAATGATGAAAATCTAAAGCACTAACATTGCACTATACATAAAGTCTAAACCACTAACATAAAGCCAACACACTAACAGCCCCTCTCAAACTCAAGGAGGATAGGAACTAACCAACTTGAGTTTGGAGAGAGTAACAAAACGGGAAAATAAACTACAAACAAAATAAAATAGGATAGGAGACACTGTATACTCGTGTCAGACCGTTGTAGAAGACACTGTGTGGTCGTGTCAGACTGTTGTAGCAAACACTGTATGGTCGTGTCAGACCGTTGGTGAAGACACTGTGTGGTCGTGTCGTACCGTTGTAGGAGCTAACTAGAATCAATGACGGGACAGTTTACGAGGTCATTCCGGACCGATGTAACAGACACTGTGTGGTCGTGTCAGACCGTTGGTAAATACACTATAAGATCGTGTATATAGGTTGCCCAAAAGATATACATATATATATATATCGCGCCCTCAAAAGTCGCGCCCAATACATCAAAAGTCGCGCCCAATACTGTGGCGTCGAGCGGCACGCGATGCGCGTGATCCTGTTTTGGACTCTTCGTCCCTGCATTGGCTATTTAAACCGAGGGAGAGGGTGAAGCTGAGGCTGTGCAAAACAAACCAGTCTGAAACCTCGTTGTTCGCTGAGAGCTGCAAACCCTGAAACACTCAGCAACCCCTAACAATAAATGGCCTCTTCTTCCCGTGGTCCGCTCACCCTTTTTCCAAACTTGAATGAGTCCACAATAGAGATAACCGGTTTTGTCACTCTTGAAGCGCCCCTGGACCAAGCGCCCTGTTTTTGCGCCGTTGAACTTTCCGATGCTGTCAGTGGAGCAAATAATGGCAGCGCAATCGGATATTGAGGCCAACCATTATACGTTGAAATTATGTGTGGAGACCATGACGGTGGTCACGAACTTGTCGCACCGGCTTCATAATGGGACAAGTGAAGTACAACAGTTAAATGCCCAACTGGCTCTGCTCCAACGCATGTATAAGGATGCCTGAGCAGAGATATGTGTATTGAAGGCGGAAAACAAGGAGTTGAAACGAAAGGCCACTGTCATGTTCCGTTTCGGAGGTCCGCCATATGCTGCGTGGGAGGAGCAGCGGGGAGGCAACTTGCTTGGCGGCTTGGGAAGCACGGAGGCAGGGCCGGCAAAAGGCGCCCAAGAGGAAGGCAAAAGGAAGAGACTGGCGACAGAGGCGAAAAAGTAAGGTCGGTGTTTTTGGTGGTTGTGGGTTGTTGTTGGTGGTGTTTTTTTTTTTTTTTTGGAATGTGGAACTGAAAAATGTAAGGACTGTAATGACAATGTAAATATATGCAGCGGCAGTGGAGGGATTTTTGTGTTCAGTTGATGAAAGGATGAGTATGGTGATAAAGAAAAATAACCAAGTCCCAAACTAGGCAGGCAAAGCACAAATCAAACCAAAATGAAAATATTATAGTAGATGAGAATAAGAAAAAAAAAAATATGGTTGATGGTGTGTAGCTGTATAAATGTGGTATCCCCCATACATGTATCAGGTGAATAATTGAAAAGAAAATGATGATGGAAGATAGAGAGGGGAGAGTGGGGAATGTAAAAGGTGGAGTAAAATAAATATAAAAAAAGAAAAGAAAGTCGAGTGGGAGTGGTGGGTGCTGAAGACAATTATGGGGGGGGGGAATTAGTTGTAAATGGCGCAGGATAGCATGTGGAGCATGGTGAGGAAGATCGGGTAACGGTAGCCGTAGATGCTGAGGAGGAGGACACCGATGTTGGAGAGATACCATGAGGGGATGATCACAGTCGTTAATACGTTGGGAGAGAGAATCGATCCAATGGTGCTGTTGTTGTTATTGTTGCGTAGGTCACCGGTGGGAGTAGCCGGAATGTCGAGGACTTGGTCGGCCGCAGATGATTCTAGCCTCGGGTTGCTGCCCTTGCAAGTGGTCCATGACTGTGCCTCCACTATGGGCAAACTCAATCTTCTCTCTCTCTCTCTCTCTACGAGCTGTTACTCCAGTATCAAAAATTTCTTATAGAGAAACGAAGCAGCTTGAAGTGCCCAAAGGTAGAGTAATTCAGGTTGAAGACAACATTCATGAACGACAACCCTCCATGGATGTAAGGCGTTTAGTTGATCAGGATCCTGATGTTGTAATACAGAGTGCTGTGTAGGACTCTATGGAGGATTCCTCCGGTTCAGGCAAAGTGGAATTGACCCATAAAGATGGTTTTGCACATGACGCATTTGAAAATGAAGATTTTGGTTTGGATGATGACAGACTTTTCCACCATTTTGGTAGTGGCAGTGGAGATGAATTGTCCAGGGAATTTTCAGAAGAGAATATCAAAAGATCAGGCAGACATTTTCCCAAAAGGTGTTCCCAAGTAACAAATCTATCTAATCCAGTGTCTGTGGATTCGGATATTCTTGGGAGTGATCGGATCTCTGACGTGAATGGGCATTTTCATCGAAAGGTTACTGGTTCTAGTTCCGTAGGAAATGTTGAAGCAAGCCTAGGCAAGCTCGCCTTGGCCGCTCGCCGGACAAACCCAAATTTCCTTAATTTCTTCTTTCATTGCAGATTCAACAACAACAACTACCACCACTACTGTCCTCTGCACATCTCCGCCGCAGCCTCAGTCCAATGGATGCTCACTGGAGAACAATCACTATGTTATTTGAAGTTTCCATTGCTTCAGCATTTCCTACGGAACTAGAACCAGTGACCTTTCGATGGAAATGCCCATTCACGTCAGAGATCCGATCACTTCCATGAATATCCGAATCCATAGACACTGGATTAGATGGATTTGTTACTTGGGAACACCTTTTGGGAAAATGTCTGCCTGATCTTTTGACATTCTCTTCTGAAAATTCCCTGGACAATTCATCTCCACTGCCACTACCAAAATGGTGGACAACTCTTGCATCATCCAAACCAAAATCTTCATTTTCAGATGCTTCATGTGCAGAACCATCTTTATGGATCAATTCCACTTTGCCTGAACCGGAGGAATCCTCCATAGAGTCCTGCACAGCACTCTGTATTACAACATCTTGATCCCGATCAACTAAAGGCGGGCGGCCAAGGCGAGGTTGCCGCCCGCCGGTGAAGTGAAATTACTAGGTTCTTAACCTAGCTTTGATACCATGTTAGAATAATGTATAAAGAGGTAGAATAGATTGTATTTATTCATATGGTTAGGGGCTCCTTATATAGGAGACGATTTACAAATTGTAATGATGAAAACCTAAAGCACTAACATTGCACTATACATAAAGTCTAAACCACTAACATAAAGCTAACACATTAACATTGCACTATACATAAAGTCTAAACCACTAACATAAAGCTAACACACTAACAAATTATATGAGATTGAATTAAATTGTACCCTTTATTATCAGAATAATCATGATATGTGAAAACTGTTAATTAGAAATATTTGTTAATCTTCATTTATAGCAATGTGTCGGATCTATGGAGGATACTGTTGTTGTCACTATTTACTTCCTAAAAATGTTTTACATCTCTAGAGACACTTTGCTTTGCAGTAGTATTGTATTGATATTGATCAAAATGAGTACGTCTGTCTAAATCCTTCATAACCTATCCTTTTCTTTTGGTTACAGGGTTTGAACAGTGATTCTGTTGTTGACTTTTTCTACAATACAACTCTCTGTTTACAGTACAGAAGTACTTGTTGGTTTGTTTCTTTCTTTCACTCTCATTGTTCAAAGGGGCATATATATTGCTTATAAGGATGTCTGTAACAGCAGGTGTTAGTGATACTGTTATTGCCATTAGGGATAAACTTAGAGGAAAAATTGGCCAAACAAAAGTCAAAAGGTATTGGCCTGGTAAAGCTCCTGAATGGGCTGATGATGTCGATGAAGATGGGGATATTAGAGTGGCCAGGGTAGTTGCATTGGAGAAAGCTTTCCCTAGTCAGGAAGATTCTGGCACTGTGAGGCGGGATGATCCTAGGCTGCGTCGTCTGGCTGAGAGTAGGATAGATAATCGCGAAGAAATTAGAGCTGACCATAGGCGCATTCGACAAGCTGAGATTGTTTCGACAATAGAAGAGGAAACCAAAAGACAAGAAGGATTAGATTTAGAGGAAGAGGATGAAAATGCTTTGGAGGAAAGGAGGAGGAGACTTAGGGAGAAGTTGCTTCAGAGGCAGCAGGAAGAAGCTGCACTTCTTCCAGACGAAGAAGAGGATGAAATAGAGGATGAGGAGGAAGAGGAGTCTGAATACGAGACTGATTCAGAGGATGAACTAACGGGTCCGGCATTGGTGAAGCCTGTCTTCGTTCCAAAATCAGAAAGAGACACCATAGCTGAGCGTGAGAGGCTTGAGGCAGAAGAACGAGCTCTTGAGGAATTAGTTAAGAAGCGATTAGAAGAAAGAAGGGTGGAGACAAAGCAAATAGTGGTTGAGGAGATTCGGAAGGATGAAGAAATTCAGAAGAATTTGGATTTGGAGGCTAATGCTGCTGATGTAGATACTGATGATGAAGTCAATGAGGCAGAGGAATATGAGGCGTGGAAGGCCAGAGAGATTGCAAGGATCAAGAGGGATAGGGAGGCCCGAGAGGCAATGTTGAAGGAGAAGGAAGAGATTGAAAAGGTGAGGAACATGACCGAGGAAGAGAGGAGGGAGTGGGAGAGGAAGAATCCAAAACCTGCACCCCAGTCCAAGCAGAAGTGGAGGTTCATGCAGAAATACTACCATAAGGGTGCTTTCTTTCAGTCAGATGCGGATGACCATGCTGCAACTGCTGGGTCAGATGATATATACAGACGTGATTTCTCTGCACCAACTGGAGAAGATAAGATGGACAAGACCATACTACCTAAAGTCATGCAAGTCAAACACTTTGGTCGTAGTGGGAGGACGAAATGGACCCATCTTGTTGGCGAGGATACAACTGATTGGAACAATCCGTAAGTACAATTTTTCTGTTACTACCTTTTTTTTTTCTTCTTTTTCTCACTTAATATAGCTGTTCTCTAATTATTTACTCTTTTTAAAAAAATATTCATCTGCCAGCCTACTGATTAAGAGTAGTTTCGTGATTTGTTTATATATTGGTTGGTTCTATGATAGTTAATTTGGCTCTAGATTTTTTTTTTGGTTGTACCTTACCCCAAAAATTGTTCTAGTATGTTGTATTGGAAATTGTTTTTTTTAGTGGCTTTTTGGCTTTTTTATGAAAAAATTGTGCAAAAAAGTAGAAAGAAGAGTTGACTTTTTTGTTGTGTTTTTTTGGCTAAAATGTAGCATTCCCAAAATAGGCAGAGTATTTTCAGACTGTCTAATTTTATGTAGTAGAGGACACTGATATGTAATGTAACACCAAAATCCGCTGGCACCTTTGAAAAAATCACCCAGCAGCTCACATCTTGGAAATTTATGCATAATGGAGTGAATTATATAAATATGCATGTAGTAAAATAAACAAAAATTACATTGGATTAAGGGTTCAAATCAAATCAATTCTGATTTGAACTAGCTGATTAACTTGGAATTGCAAGCCTTAGGAAAAAAAATGATAATAATTATAAATTACAACTGCATTGTGAGATGACTAGAAATTGCTGTGTCAACTCATGAGATCAGATCAGATCATCTCGCACAAAATGTCCTAAAAATGAGGAAATTGTTGTATTCTTTGTTTCTACACAATTTTGGTATTAGAGACCTACTTTGATTCACAGCTTGGCTTGATCAGCGAGGTTGCCTTCTTGGCTGTTTTTATGTTTGGGGTATGCTGTTAAATTTTTGTTTGTAGGATCATGTTTATGCGAACTTTTTTTTCTTAATTATTCCTTGGTTGGTTATACAGGTGGACATACAATGATCCTCTTCGGGCCAAGTACAATGCTAAAATGGCAGGAATGAACGCCCCTATAGCAAAACCCAAAGGAAGCAAGAAGCTCAAGGATTGGGAGTCTCGGTGAAGCGAAAATGTTTCTTGTGCTGTCAAAGCACCCATTGAAGTCCTTAACTTCCTTTCTCTATGTTGTTTTTTAATTGGATATAGGCTTTTACTTTGTTAGCCCTATTAATGTGTAATAGTAATATGTTTTTCAAGTATCTAACATAAATATAATAGGTCTTACAATCTAAACTAATGAGAATAAAGGAAACGTGACAGTACCACTTGATGCCTTCCTTTATTCTAATTAGTTTAGATTGTAGGACCTATTATATTTATGTTAGGTACTTGGGAACACGAGGGGATTAGATAGTTTATGATTGGTTAAAAGGTACCCAATGGCATGCCAAGGGATGCATGGTCTGAAGACAGATTAAATGAATTATTATTTTTTTTATAAAATATATATTTTAACGTAAAAGAGATGATAAAAGTCACGTAGAACCTGCCAATGGGATGGATTCTACTCAACTGCTTGATATTTAAAGAAGCAATGAGATTAGTGGATTATCCAGTGAGATGAGCTCCATATAATGTTACCTGGACCTGACGACATCAACGGTTGGTATTTAATAAAATAATACCAATAGAAAAAGATGTTAAATTTCAGAGTTTAATTGACTTTACCAACTAGAGGGAATTGGGCTCTCAAAGTTATATTCATGTAATTTATTTATTTATTTATTATTAGTAAGAGCTATGAAAGCAATGACTATGGATGTAATAATTTTCCCCATATTATGATTAGACGTGTCTCATTTAAAGATTCATCAATTGGAATCTTATTTCCTTTCCGGAGTACCCAAAAAAAAAAAATTGGAATCTTATTTCAATATAATTTTATTTTGGTAATGACGTGTAGTAGTTCTTTTCCATAAACATTTTTAGTATTTTATATATGTTTGTGAAAGAGAAAAGTATGCTATACAAATATTTTAGTATTTTGACATTGTCATTCATCATTTCAATAATATAACGAACATAAATAAGTATTTAAAGAATCAAAGTATAAATTAGATTTTGGTATGATTTAAATAAATATATTTTTTGATTTTTTTATGAAAATATATGTAAAAAAATAAAAAGATGAAACCTCAAAAAGATAAAGTGTACTGCAGTTCATAGTAGAAATTTAGACCCGATGGCTGTGCATCACTGTCGCCACCTATATGTAAGTTTGCAAGCGCAATATTTGTCGTTGTAGGTGCAATCAATATCTTTTTTCTTCAGCACGTGCACTAAAATAAGTTTACATTTCCAAAAAATGTGTAACATAACTCGCTATTACCACACAAGTGTAAAATAAGATGAGTAATGTTAGGGATATCAAATTTTCTACTAAATAAATGGCCAAATGTCTCATATGGGTGTGGGGTTCGCAATTTTGTGGGCCCCACACCCATGTGAGACATTTGGTCATTTATTTGGTAGAAAATTTGGGACCTCTAACATTTTCCAAATAAGATTGTATTGGTATTTTAGACGGCACACACATAGCACAAATCAAATAGTTAGACGTAGGCCTATACTATGGCCGCAAAGGAATTTCTAGAACGATCCAAACTTAGTACTCAAAGGTTTGGCGTTGCAATAAAATAATAAAATATAAAATAATTTTAAAATTTCTGAATTAGTAGCGCAAGCGGATAAAATAAAATAAAATAAATGGGTACCAAAAAGTTGATTTAAAAGGAAAATAGTCATTTGGGCTTTATTTTATTATACGAGTTTGATCAGAATTACAACTAGTAAAATAATTAAAAAAATACTGCGATTTATTCCCAACTTGATCCCGCTAAATATCATCATCTGAAAGGGGATAACAGTTATAAGCAGATGACAAGGTGAGAAATATTATATAGTGAGTATGAGGATACATAAATTACCATAGATAATTATTTAGATCAAAATAGTAAACAATTCAGTTTGAATAAATAAATTACTTAAAACTATAAAATTTTAATTCAGAAGTTATATAAGCAAAATAATCATAGCCATGGTACAGAACGGAACAGAGGTCACTGAAGTAACAATCAGAATAGAGGTCAATGAATCCATGATAAACAAAGGGCTATAAAGTGACCAATCAGAAATCAATGGTTATTTAAGTCCCCCATGAGACTCCCGTGGTGGTATTTACAAAAATAAATATTTATAAAACTATTGTGAAATAATTTCTAAAATTTAAACAATCATATCCATGGGTTTCAATTTGAAAAAATATAGTTCAGAAAATAATTAACGTAATTGAAATATTAATATAATGCATAAAACATAAATGACATAAAATAAATTATAGGTAACTCAATATATACGTAAAATATTTTATAATAACTCAAGGTATAATATAATTCACTTTTATTAATAAGTTACCCCTGTTCTCCCTCTGCTCGGAACCTCCTCTTGCTGTGCTCCTTCTCCTTACACTTAGGGTGTGTTTGATTGGGGGGATTAGGAGGGGGGACTATCCACTATTTGGATTGTAATCCAAATAGTGCACCTTATCCGTCGTTTGATTTTTTTTTAGTCCGGCGGACTCCATGTCCGGCCGGACTCCATGTCCCCCATATGGGGGACTATCCTGTCCTGGGGGGGTGGGACAGAAAGTGGGGGACTAATCACTGTTTGGATTATATGCGAAAATGACCATTTTGACCCTCTACTATGTAATTATGTATTATATTTAATAAAATTCAATAAAATTTAAATGTCTCAATTTAAAAATAAAATAATTTTATTTAACTTTTTATTAATGTTTTGTTTATTTAATTTTCTAAAATAATTTTTTATAGATATTTTATTGATGTTTTATTTTAAAATTTTGTTTATGTTTTATTTAATTTCATTGTTTAAATTTAATAGATGTTTTAATAGATGTTTTATTTAAACAATTAAATGTTTAATTTCAACAATAAATAATTTCATTTATTTAAATTATGTTTTATTTAAACATTTAAACATTTGTACATCAACATGTTTATTAAATTATTTCAACATCTGTACATCAACATGTATATTTATTTAACATCTATTAAATTATGTTTTAATACGTCAACATTTGATTACATCTACATTTGTTAATTGTTAATTACATCAACATTTGTTAATTGTTTAAACATAATCTATACATCAACATTTATTTAATTGTTAATTATTAATTATTTAAACATAATCTGTACATCAAAATAATTTCAATGTTAATTGTTTAAATAAAAATTTAAACATTTAACCATTAGTATGTTTAATTTCAAAAATAAATTTTTATTTGTTTAAATAAAAATAATCTATACCAGTCAAATTTTTTTATCAATATTAGTATGTTTAAATATCTTTAAACAAAATTTAACCATTAGTATGTTTAATGTTTACTAAAAATAATTAAAATATTAAAGATATGTTTAATATTGCTATTACATAATAAACAATTGAAAAAGGGTAAAATAGTCTTTTGTTCATTTATCCTATCCAGTCCGTCCAATCAAACACACCCTTACTTCGTTCGTTGCTTCCCCATTCTACTTCAACACCCTCACTATTTATACCTACCCAATGTGTGAGGCCCAAGCTAAGACATGTACACGTAAAAGCTCCCTCATTCTGCCACCAGTTTTTTACTTTTGGTTTTAATCCCCATGAATTCACCAAGAGCCATATTAACCCTTGACTCATAGAAATCTTACTTGGCTTCTTCTTCTTCTTCTTCGTCTTCCATTTTTTTTTTCTATTTGTTTATTATTATTTTATTTTAATTCAAAAGATTATGATTCCTAACATTATGTATGATTATAAGTTAGGTTTAGAAACCTTACTACCAAACTATAAAGCATCACTTATTGCTTACTAAAATATTTAGTATTCTAAAAGTGCGGTGGCTCACAATATATCTCCTTAACCAAAGTAAATTTCTAACTTTTTAAACCATAAACTTTCACTATGCATGTTTTTGATATAATGAGGAATTCTATTTATTTACTAATTATATATATAAACATATATATATATATATATATATATATTTTTTCTACTCATGATTAATTGATATTAACATGGTATTGAATTAAATAAAAAAAATTCAGGTGTCACATTTCTCTCCTCCTTAAAAGAAGTTTGTCCTCAAACTTGCCATACCTTGGTTTTCGAAGAGGTGTGGGTATTTGATGCTCGTTTGGCTTTTAGTTTTTCATTTCGCTTCTTCAACTCGATGATTTCTTTATAAAACTTTTACAAGGGGTATAGTCTTATTTCAGAGGACTTGATCACGATGATCAAGAATCTGCACTGATTGTTCTTCATAAGAGAGATCTTCTTGAACTTCTAGGTTCGCATAATCGACAATATGCTCTAGATCTCGAAGATATCGTTGAAGCATCAAAATGTGAAACGCATTGTGGACATTGGACAATTCAAGTGGCAGTGTAAGGCGATATGTCACAAGACTAATCCTTTCTAGTATCTCAAATGGCCCGATGTAACGTGGGTTTAACCTTCCTCGCTTTCCAAATCGAATAACCCCTTTTGTTGGTAAGATCTTTAGGAACACATGATCTCCTATTTGAAATTCTAAGTCCCATCTTCGTGTATCTGCATAGCTTTTCTGGCTGCTCTGGGCAATGCTAATTCGCTGTTAGATGAGTTGAATTTTATCACTCGTTATTTGCACGATTTCACGACCTAATAATTTCCTATCTCCGACTTCCGTTCAACATAGAGGTGATCGACATCTCCTTCCATACAACGTTTCATATGGTACCATTCCAATGCTCGCTTAGTAATTGTTGTTATAAGCGAATTCCACTAAAGGTAGGTGCTCATCCCAATTGCCTTTGAGGTCTAGCACGCAGACACTTAATATATCCTTTAAAGTCTAGATTGTTCTTTCGAATTGTCCATCGGTTTACGGCTGATAAGCAGTGCTAAACTTCAGTGTTGTTCCCAAAGCTTCTTGTAATTTGTTCCAGAAGTGAAACACGAAGCAGGGGTCTGGGTCAGACATGATTGAAACTAGGGTGCCGTACAAACAAATGATTTCCTTAATGTATAGAGTGGTGAACTTGGTAAGGGAGTACGTGATCCTAATTGGTAGAAAATACGCCGACTTTGTTAATCGATCTACTATAACCCATGTTACATCATTCTTCAAGACTGATTGCAGTAGCCCGACCACGAAGTCCATAGTAATGTGCTCCTATTTCCATTCATGAATAGGGAGTGGTTGCAACATTCCCGCCGATCTCTGATGTTTTGCTTTAACTCGTTGACAATGCATGCATTTGGAGATGTGGCTTGCTATGTCTCTTTTCATTCCTATCCACCAGTAGTGTTCCTTCAGATCGTGATACATCTTCGTATTGCCAGGGTGGACCGCAAACCTCGAGCTATGAGTTTCTACCAATATCTTCTTCTTGAGTTCTGGAAGGTCGG